TAAAACTGGAATAACGGCACTCAAGTCGACCAGTGTCAAAATCACTACTGCTGTGATTACCGCGAACGTGATTCCATTCAGTTTATATCCCTGTCCAAAGAGACAGATGAAGACACACCTTATTACTTCGCAGCAACTGGAATCGGCTTATTTAGCTATAACTTTACGCTACTGACCCAGTTACAGTTTCAACGAGGAGAAGTTTACAAGGGTACCTAAATGTTTGTCTAATGGACAAATATCTGCTTGTCCCTAGCATAGGCGCAAATACTGCAGACATTTTCAGTTCTAACTTAATTCCAACACACTCTGCGATAATTGGGACAACGTAATCATCACCATGATATGCAAGCAGATAAACAATCTGATTCTCAGATTTTGTTCTGTTCTCCAAGCTGAACAGTTTCGTTGAAATTTTCATCAGCAATCATGGTGACTTCTTCAGGGGGTAATAAGCAAACTGAGTTGTTTTGTCGACTCTTACCGACGAGCTAGTGACATTTGATCTTGCACACTTTGATTCAGGTCAAGTGACCATTGCTAGTTCGAAGTTCGAGCGCCGCGTTTTTTCGACTCATGTGCCAAATGATCCACGTAAATTCTTTTTTCGCAGCTTCCCGTATATCGGATCTAAGTCGATGCGTTGGTTTATTGAACTCTCAGTAGAAAACCAGGCTTCAAGGAATTCGCTCCCTTGTTTGGTCTCTCCTTGCGCTAGTATCTCGGTTTTCTCCCAATCAACTATGTGCCCTTCTTCATCAACGTTTGTCGAGATCAAGGTTGATGTGTAATGGTTTCGACAGGCATATTTGTGTTCTCGTAGTTTTGCAGACTATTTGCTTCCCGTTTGGCCCACATAGTTCTTATCACAAAATTAACACTGTATTCTTTAAATAACGTTCTGGTGTTCATGTGCTGTCTTTTTCCCTTTCGGTCTAGACAGGGTTCCTTTCAGAATGTTGCTGGGTATGTGAGCCAGTAACAGATGATGAGGCTTGAGGATTCTAGCAGTCAGTTCCGATAATTTCTTGATGTATGATAAAGCGATCCGTTTCGTTGTTGTTGATTCAGGCGTGGTGTTTGAACTCTTGTGATTCATGTAACTTCGGATGAAACTACGTGAATATCCGTTGTACATGAAGGATGTAAACAAATGGTTTTCTTCCTCGCGTTTTGCTTCTGCAGTATAACAATGTGATTCTATCCTACAGACCAAGTTGCGCATGCAGCTGATTTTGTGATCTTTTGCATCCTGATCCTGTGACTATCGACCTAACACTCTCATTCGTTGCCTCTTTTACCGACCAACATTCCCAACCTATTAGAAGAGTATTGCTATTGTTGTTGGTTGGAAGGTGGATGCCACTAAGCACCCGGAAACTAAAGACTTCCGTTGGTCCCTATAGGATTAAAATTACAAGGAAGCCGAGTCTTAGTTACACAGCCTCCGCCAACTGTGCCCAGACCATCGAAGAAGACAACCCACACAACTTATTCAAGTGAGAAGGGAGTTTACACTCATTGAACTGCACACATGTTCCAAAGTCTTGGTCACATGTATATACACGAAAGTACTTCACCGAATAAGGTAACTGGGATTCCATGTCATAACAGACGATGTAGATACATTCGAAAAATCGGTGAGCCCTAACGGCACAAAAACTCAGAGCACTGTTGTAAAACGAGACTTTTCCGTGTTGTATCTAATGTCACTAAGGAGGCAGTCAGCTCCAGTATCAACAACGTGTCATCAGCATTGGCCTTGTCCGATCCGATTATTCCAGGATATTCTGTGGAGTGATCCTAAACTGGTGAAGTACGGTGTAAGAGACAAATAGATCGAATCTATCGCGATGCCCATCTTCATGATTACTGCAAGACCGCAGGATATAAATAGAGAAAAGCTGTCAATAACAATTAAGAGCAACGGCGCTGCATGCACAGGTATGTTATAACACAACAATCAATGTGCAGGGTAGACCGGCAAGTTCAAAAAAATTAGAGGGTGTATTGTGAAGGCGGTGTATCTTCCCAGCTGACTGAATACTACGCTTTGACTTGAAACAGCGTCCTCTAACTGAACACATGGCTTGAGCAATTTAATTAAACAACGTATCAACCACCGTTTGGTGGATACGACATGTCTAGCTATACGTTACACACAAATATATAAGCACACTTGAAATGGCGAAGCAGTTGGATCCCGACACAACTCAGTTTGTAAGTGCCCACGCCCAAAGCGTAATTACTAGTCAGGCTTTCACTGGTCGGCAAAACACCCAAACGAACGCACTTGTCCCCTGACTTACTGCTGATATCTGGAACTTTCAACACACAGCATGTAGCAGTTTAATGCACATATGCAGGCGTTTATTGCAAGTGTTTATTGTAACGTTGCCCTGGCCTCAGAATTGTGCGCATCCAACCCAGCCAGTAAAGAAACAAAACACTGACGCCTCCTAGACCGAAGGGTATTAGGAACAAAAAGAGGTAAACTATTATGGATGACGTTCTATCAGCACCGGCTGCACGTTTCTGAACTGATGCAAATCAATTGCCTGGATAGATTTCAAACTTGCCAGCGGTCCGCACTGGCCAGCTGTTGTCGCATTCACTCCGAACTGTCGCGTAGCTAACGGTGTCATGATGACGGAATGATTTCCTCAGCTCCTCGACTGACTTGACAAAGGTAAAGGTGACAAAACGCAACGGAATAGTCCAGGCAAAACGACGAAAGAGCGATATTTGTCCAGAAAATCCAGTCTTCCGAAGACTCACCTGACAACTCTTATGACTTGAGGTTTTCGCTACCTGCGTGCAACGCTCCCACACCTAGACTTGATAGACAACTGAGATGCATGTTATCCATATCCTTCAACTAAACACGATGGTGTCATAGGTAATTCGTTGCAGTCTCCTCTCAGTCAATAGGCTTTAATAAGTTTAGTAAAGCTCTAGACGGCTGTTTCAAGATCCTGGGTCTCGTCAGGGTTGATCGTTCCTCGGACCTTTGCCAAATTCTGACCCCATGACTTCCGGATGACAGAAGTTACTATCTCTTAACCAGTGGTTACGGCCGCCGACCTGCGTGCGTGCGTGCATTTTCAGGGTTCCTAAGTGTCCGAATTGCTTTCGGGTTTCTGACTGTTCACGTTGAATCTAGTGGCTGCCACAGAGATTCATGTATCTTCAGCATCGTACCGAAAGCAATGCACTTGCGATATAGTGCTTGATACCACTTCAGTCTGACTGTGACTTTCCTGAAAAGCTTGTGCTGACTAGTAAACATAGAGGTGTAGTCCAATATAACAAGTGCCAGTAAGTTTGCACATAGGATATTATTGTTTCTGAACTCATTAGAAATTAAACGCTCCGAAGTGTGTTAACTCGAAAACGGCTGGTTCGTATTTTAGTATTCTGTATTTGAATTATTATATGTACTCTTAACAAACTATTATAAAGAGGTGATGTAGCATTTCTCCCTACCCGACATCATTCTCTAAACGTCGAGGGTCTATACTTCTCGTTACTAATGTCCTGGCGGATTTACAGGCTCTATCGCGCTTTCGCAGAAAAATTGCGCAACCCCTAAACTCCTAAAATTGCCAAAACTCACTAAGTCATCTGGATTGAGAAATCAAGCGCCTAAACTGGTCGATCCATTTAACGACGCACTTACTGAAATCAAGTACATTCAACATAATCCGGATTGGCTAGAAATCAACTTGACTTCTTTCGTTTCTTTGCAGAAATCCTAAACGCACTTGCGCTTTTGGCTATCCTGCTACAAGCACCGGTAAACCAAGATAGGGATCATTTTAAACCGAGCAGCGTCTTCATTGCAGCTGTTATAGCAGAAGGGTCTAATGAAATACCATGCACGAAGAATGCCGTGGCTTTTAACTTGCCCATTATACTACATGCACACTCCCGTCAGCATCTCCTGCTTAGAGCAGGTCATATTGAAGCCAGTCGGTGTAAAATGTGTAAGGATCCAGCGTACAATTCAGCGGATAAACTGCACTTCTCTTCTCACTCCAGTGGGACATTGATAGGGAACGAGTTCACTAAATGTCTAACAGATAGCAGAAAGAACCACATTAAAAACACTGGTAGTAGCTACATATAATGCACTTCCTTGTTGCTGCTGTTCACCAGTAATCTCTCCTCCACTATTACAAATATATCTGTTTTGATTGTACGATCGATTAAACTTATTTCCAGACACGTCTGCTTGCATAGAGATTCCTTAGTTGAATTCATTATTCATAAGCATTATGGCGCTCGCAAAAAATTTTCTTCTAAGGCCCTAAGTGATCGCTCTCATCCGCCACATAATGCTCTCTCGAAAATGTAATCTGCCTCTGACAGTGCTTTGAACATTTAAGTTGTAATTCCCCCGTACTTCTTCTAGGTCCCATCATTCACTGTCGCTGTAGTGACTGAGTAAATACTGTGCACGCACCAATTTGTGTGTATCAAGCCTATTTCGACTTCACTTACCTTGAAGACGCAACGAAGAATGTTTACCTAGCTGAATTTGTCCTTTTAGTAGGGCGTAAAATAATGAATAGGTTTTCGCAATAGGTGGTTCATACTTTGCACGACTTGGGAAGCTGTACTGTGCACTCAACGTGGCAATGTTGCCTACGAAAATGGTCTAACGGGTGAACGTTCTTACCACCGTTTCCACTCACATAAGGGTTTTGGAAGTGACTAGGAAATTGCGAACAATATGTGGGATTTAAACATCGCAAGAGCAATCAGCCAGATGAATGAGTGTAGCTTATATGAAATACTGTTCGGCAGAATCGTGAGCAAGCTGCTACTGGGATAGGTGTTTCCGTATCCACCACACAATTTGCAAGGCAACTCTAACTACCCACGAAGAAAACCAAATTATCGGGACTTCCAGTATAGTTTTTATTATGCAACGTTAATCAGTGAGGCACAGAGATTTCGGTTGCAATTTTTGCACCGTTTGGTCGATTGTTTCGGTATTAGTTTCCTGCGCATTCTTTTTGGCAATCCGACACTGACCTGAAATTGTTGCGGTTCCCACGACATCCGCCGTAAGTGAATTCCACGCACTTTTGCTGGTCTGAATCGTATCGGTAACGTCGGAAGAACACGCGGCATGGTCCGGGATCTTCGGAAAGTTTGCAATAATCTGACAAATGAAGGATAGCTTAAAATGATTGAGAGACTGGGCGTCACTTTTAATATATGTATGTGATAAGTGGGTCTACTCTGTAATAAGATTAACTGGGTGATATTCATGATTATGTTGGGAACAAACATTCGACTTAAGGAACCACTGTGTCAGTGATTCGTCACGTTTCATTTTGCAGTGTGAACTCTCTGATGTCTAGGTGAAATAAGCGTAGAACAAAAACCTCAATATCAGTCATGATGACTACGCTACGGTGCGCACTGCTTTGCGTCCGTTCCATTGTGGTGCACGGTTGCTAATTTTTCTCGTCACTTGCTCAACCATGCAACCAGTTACGGATCTATGAGACGGAGGCGGTGAATTAGTCCGCCAATTGGATGGTACTTTCATTGGTAGTAGGCGCGCCAACTTACGTGATTTTCTGGAGCATTCGGTCACACTCAGAGAAGGTAGCGTATCAACTGCTTTTGCCGCCTGAGTCAGTGGTAAAATTTTCTCCACAAATGAGGACGGAATAGGCGCGCGAAGGCCACACAATTAGCTCAGAATAAAATGCACATTAGTTTTCAATGAAATCGCTGATCGTTTGGAACACTGTACTGCCTACCAAAAGTGATCACCATGGGACAATTAAGGGGATTTCCGAGAAGAACGTTTGCTCATGCGTGAAACATGGCATAAATGTTTTGATGATCATAAAGAATAACATCAAAATCTTCAACCCTCAGCTAATCCGGATAATTTGCTCTTTATGTTTGGTATCGAACAATCGGCGGAACTAAAAATGCCGCCTCGTGTCACATGCTAACCGGGGCGGACAGCCCCCGCCCTCCTATTCTACGACTCCGCTCAGAAAGCAATTGGAGGTACGGGAAGCGTTAAATGAATTACGTGGTTTTGGGTTGCCTGAGTAACAGGCACTGCTACATAATGGACTCACCCGGGATCGCAGCCTCGATATGAATAAGAACCACACAGAAAACAATGAACAGGGTGGAAAAAGCACTCATTTAGAAATGTGTAGCGAACAGCCGTCTAGCTTGCTTCGTCAACCGCGCATTTGATTATATAGCAAATAGGTTTGTTTACCGACTGCAGGCGACGATCATGGGACTATCGGTATTGGCTTCAAAATTACTTGTAAACGGTGCACATAGCTTAGTGGAAACGCCCATTTCCGGTCCTATGCATTCAAGCGGAAAAATTCGTCAGGTGTTTCATGGATTTCAACAGCTGGCTGTTTTCAGTAACTTGTTTACTGCAAATGTGCATGTTGAGGCCGGCTAAACCCAAGGGAATATACTCAATTCCATTAATTGGTTGTAATATGCCTAAACTGTTCCCATTAGTTGTCTTGAATCTCTAAACAAGTGACCGGTAAACTCTGTTTCTTGTTATTATTGCGCTAGTTGCTTACCGATATACGCCCTAAACTTATCCACTGCCGTCTTCGTTCGTCCGCGGTCCATAATTTTCAATACTCTATCTCTCTTAACTAGGCAGACAGCCTTACCAAGCAGCTCGAAACAATTGGCCATAACGCAGTCCGACGCTTATTGCCCAATCAATGAAAGCGGACTAAGGACGACGCTTCACCTTGAACGCTACCAATGAGGATGGTCTAAATTGAAGCCTGTCTGTAAGTGAAAGTACCTTAATAACTATTAATGCGACCCAATTAATTAAATCGCTTATAATGCCTGCTGGATGGGGGCAATCCATTTTTCACCTGAGGCGTCTTCTTATCTGGAAAGTCGGCCGGTCAGCTTGTGCGGTAGCAGCAGATTATGCGTACAGTCAGCGGAAATCAAAACAACCTCCTCTCATCGGGATGGGGCGGGTGTGGGTGCTTATTTTAGCCAGATTCGTTTTATCACACTTTTGCTGAATTTCATTGACACAAATGCAAACTTGTTGATGAATTCACAGAATGTATGGAGACGCGGTTGGCCAATAAATAAGCAGAGCATGATGAAGAAAGTTGTCGTTAGTTTCATCGTTTGATATGAATTATTCATGAAACAATATGACACCGTGCAAGTATCCACAAAAACCAACTCACATACGAGGGTTTCGCGTCCCGTTTTCGAAACTTTTCATTTCTTGTCGTGGGAGGAACCTGCATTTGGCCGTATGTTGAAAACTTGCGGCGTGCACCAAGTAGCTTGTTATGCTTGTTGCCAAACAACTCTGGCACTGTAGGGCTATTCGCTTCAGTGTCAGCTGAATAGATTTAATGTACGCAGCAGTGCGCAGCACGGATTGTGGAAGGAATTTACTTGTCTCACCAATTTATTTGTAGCTCGTGAGAGCTGGGCCTATGCAGTGGACAATGACCAAGCACAGGTCATGCGGTTAGTGGATTTGTTCGAAGGTATTTGACACGATGACGCACCTGAGACTATCGAGGAAGGTGAACTGTCCCGGTGTGTCTGCTCGCGCTCATCACTGTTTGGCTGCACAATTGCATGAAAGGGAGCAGTAGGTACGGGTAAGTCTCAGCGTACTGTTTAGGCAGTCTGTCTTCATTGGAGTACCGTAAGTCAAAATGCTTGGAGAACCGCTGTTCTCCATCTATCTAGATGACCTATCTGCGGAACTGGAGGTAACATCGCCATTATTTGCTGACGACCCATAGCTCTGTGATAGAGTAGTTGTTCCTGAAAGTGCCGGATCCATTCAGCGTTCCTTAGATAGACTCCTGGATTGGTGTATTTTTATAGCGGTTCCCCTTAATCAGCAAAGTATTCGGTTCTTCGAACTGGAGTAGGTTGTTCCTCCTCGAGGTACTTAGTCGGTGGGGTCGAAGTCTAGTGCGCATTCGGCCAGGTTAATCTAGGCGTAATCGATTCTTCCATTGTACACTCGAGCGACAAGTAGAACAAGACCAGAGGCTTACGTTCGCTTTTATGAATATGTGTACCTTTGGAATCATCAAAATAGACAACTTGTGAAATTGTGCTCAGCTTTCGTTCTGCCAAATCTGGAATATTGCGTCCAGGCTTGTGAGGGCTGCCTTTCCCAGGATCGACGGTTGTTGAAATAGGTCACACGCGGTGGGTACTGCTTGGATTGAGGGGTTTGGGGGGAAAACATTCACCAACCGCCTATTTAGACTTCGAATTTATCTAATGCACTATCGATGGATTAAGGAAGCTATCAACTTAAAATCCCCGTATTTTGTCTGTGAAGGTTTGCGCGGATTTCTCTTATTTATCAGTCCTCCTATAATTTCTAAGCACCACTGACACAAAATTAAGCACGGCAACCCATTGTGCGATTGGATTAGGTCCGAAATTCGGCTATCTCGCCCAGTCAACAAACGCGGAACCGCGCTATCTGAAAGCGTTACTAGAAATCTGCGAGTAGGGTTGGCAATACGAAAGTTTTCCGGTCTTCTGACAAACTTTCATCAACATACTCCAATTTTGTCTTTTCTGTTCCTCACACCTTGATATTACACTTTATCTGACGACCTTCATCATGCTCTAACTTCGGATTCTCGGTTGCTTACTTCAAGCGAACTGACACAGCAGAGAATGTGGGCAGTAATCATTTGACTGCAGTGGGATTCATGTGTATCGTTTTAGATCCATCAAGACCTCGGAGCATCTCATCAACTACTGGCTCAACGATCAGCTCAAGGAGGTATACTGACATGAATTTCCTATCTTTCCAATTCTACCTGGACGTGAACTTGGCAATTCCGGAACTGGGAGCCCAAGCCAGGGCGATGTGTATAGGGGGTATTTAGTGAACAGTTATTTTATATGTTGCCGCCTGGTGGTGGGTGATTATCACACCACCACCACCACCACCATGGGAGCTGAGTGTGAGCAAATGTGGTTCGACGTGGTGGACGCTCGCATTGCAAATGTGAATCGTGTTTGATTGTCCGGAACCACCGCAACATGTTCAATGGTCTGAGGTTATTCGTACAAACACGGAGTTATCACCACGCAAACACTTACTATCGGATGCCAAATGTAAACGCATGTTAATCATGTGACTCGATCGGGACTAACGTTTTGTGATGGCATCATGTGAATCATTGCCTTGTAAACCTTGCTAACGATGCTAAAATTGCTGCCGTTTGCGAAACACTGATCGAGATTAGTTGATAACACGAGTCACTAGAATTGCACGAGTGACAAACAGAAACGTAACTCCGGTGTAGATAATGCTGCTCATCTGCACACCAGAACAGATTCTCTTTTAAAATGGTTGACTTCCTACATCAAGGATGGAGAACAAGTAGTCTGATTTGGTAACTGGAACTTCGAAGACATTTCATAACTATTGAATTGATTCAAAGCCGCGATCTGGGGCCGATGTCACTGCACTTCAACGCTCTCCTTGATAAAATGATACTCGGGAAGCCATTCCATTTCACTGTTGCAGTTAAAATGGTGCATTGTTCCACCCCTATGCTAGGTAGTCTGTATTCAGTCTGATCTGTCCGCGTTAGAGCACTGGAGTAACTTTTGTGAGTTGCACTTCGCCACTGACGATTGTTACCTATTGTACCACGGATGTGACCCTTTTCCGTACATTCTAACCTTAAACGACACTCCTATTACCGTGTATGGCGCCGTCCGAATCCTTGTTCTTAATTATTTTGTCTCATTTAATTTGCTAGAGCAACTCACATTCTTGCGAGCTTTGCTAGAAAAGCAATCGTCCCCAGCAGCAGAACTCTTCTCTTACGACATTCCAGGCTTCAATCGTTTGAAATGTTTGTTAGCCTGAGGGTGGAATATTGGAGGATTGTGCACGAAAATCTGAGCAAAGTGGGCAACACTGCACTGGAGAACGTCCTAAGAGCAGCCACAAAGAGATTTTTGAATGTGACTAACATTAAGACTCAACATGAGCGCTGCGAGGCTCTAAACTCTTGTGGTTATGGCTGCGCAGACTTAAAGTTAATCTGTTCAACCTACCGCTTATTACAATGATTATGCTTTACAGCTTGGCCACAACTCGTTTCGGATTCCTAAGCGCTATGAAATAAGAAAGAACGAGCGCATACTGCCTTAACCAAAGGCTCGTACGAAGCTCCAGTCAAATATTTATTCAGCCAATGAAGGGTTATTAGGACTAAGCTTCCATCGAATATCAGAAACTGCTCTATATACTTGCAGTTCAAACTGATGATCAATGTTCACGTGAAAGTTTCCAAGATCTGGTCGTTACTAAGCCCACATTATTTTTCCGTTATTCCCGATCTCCCTTGCTTCTCGGCCCGAACTCCAATCGAGCCCACACTACCACGGTTTACGATTCCTTTTGTTACATCCATACAACATGATCTATTCCGCTTATTGTGTGACTGTTGGTGTCCAATTTCCTATCGACATTGCTCGCTCTGTTCGCTGTCATCTGAGTCACCAGCATACTTTACCTGCATTTCCCCTCTTTCTTAGACTGACGATGTCTGGATTTTGCGTGTTCAACTATGCGGCCACTTTGAGGCTCTAAGGCTGTTCCTTGACAAACTGACTAGCTTTGTGTGGTTGGACCCGTGACTGTCTGTTTTCCGATTTGTCCGTGGCGGGATCACTTTGCTGCGATGTGTTTTACTTTATTTTGCATTATGCTTGCACCAGCGAATTGTTGTCTATTGCCGTGACGGGTATTTGTGTTTACCTGTTTTGTGAGGATATCGTTGAAGTAATTCGGAATTATGGTCCCTATTCTAATGTTGTAACATAGCACCGTAGTTCAACACCGAGAATGACAGTGTTTAGCTGGTGGTTTCGCCCCAGTTCCAGACCTTTACGTTCATTGAATGCAAATTGGCGACTGCGGATCGATCAAATTCCCTAATGCTTATTGATGCTTAAAGCACCCCTCGAGGCAATGCGCTTCATGGAAACCGGCCCACCTAGGATGGTTCCATGGATGACCGTATTACTTTGCTTGAATTTCTGGTTAAATCTGTATTTTGAACTGTCCACCGTTTCTTATTCTCTCCAGTACTTTGCATTGCATTTCACTTTAAAATCCCATTTGGGATTCGATGCCGAAATCATGAACCATAACATTTGTATTCGATTCCGATTTATATATTGAGAAAACCACTTAATTGGCCCATGCCTCCCACCACCGAGGAATAAATGTTTATTTTTTAGTTATTAAGGATCTTTATGATATGTATAAATTACAAGCTTGACATGTCTCTTAGGCTGGTAACGAAAAGAAGTGCAAGTTCGTGTGTTACTTAGCTGGATCAACTAAAGTGCGTACGGTGAATCTGTAGAGTATTTGCATAGAAATAATCTAGTTGTGTGGCTGAGACGGTACACAATAACACTCCAGGTATAGTCAGTCATTACTGGTAAGGAAAATGGCCCAAACCGATGATACGTTTTGTTGCGCGACGTTGAGAGATTCCGAGCGTTGCGAGGTCACGATTTAGCGAAGACTGTCAAGCCTGGATAGCGTAATCTACGTGGGTGCTGACGTAGAC